TCTTAATCTCGATTTTTCAGCATTTTGTTCTAATTTCATTATTCTGGCTATAAATCTTGCTTCCTTAGCTAAGAATTTAGCCTTCTTCTTTTTAAGTTTAGTATTTTCAGCTACAAGCTTGGAAATCTGTTCTAATAAATCAGTTTTGAATTGTATATTTGCCATTTTTTAATATAATATATGTATATACATTCAATTAATCATACTGATACAGAATAAAAAATATCAGCAGATAAAAATCATATAAGTATGAAGATTCTTTACACCAATACCAAAAAACTTTTAAAAATTCTCAATCATAGGCAAGTTAATATATATATTAACGTGCATATTTAAGGAACTAGAGGCTTGAGATATAGTAGGTGTTTTTTAGTAAGGCTTTTATCAGGCATTTACCTTAGTTTTCAGTAGATAAAGGTCAATTATAGATAGATAATCACCTGACATGTAGTTATATAAATAAATATTACTCAGCTTTAAAGTCAGACAGATTGTAGATATAAATTCTTTTTTCATGGAGGAGAATCAGGAGGTCACCATATTAGGTTCTGATTTTGAGCTGCATACTAAGACTCGTGAATATTAATTTCTTTTTGCTTTCTAGTATCTTTAGTCTTGCATTTTACAAATTAACTTTTATTTTTATATAGTCAATAATACTCGTGTTGTTTTTGGTGCAACTATTGCTATTGGAAAAGATAATTTTGAATCCATTATAGGTGATCGTCTTATCTTTGTTGATAAGTCGATGCTTATAAAAGAGTTTATTAAAAGTTCAGATTTTATATCACTTATTCTTCGTCCTCGCCATTTTGGCAAATCAACAAATCTATCCATATTAAATCACTTCTTTAAAGTACCATATTCCCATGAAGAAGAAATTATCTGCAGGCAACTTTTCGAAAAGCTAAAAATTTCAGCTAAAATAGAAATTATACAAAAACATTTCGCACAATATCCTGTTATTCATATTTCACTTAAGGTTTATATTGATATTAATTTTCATTTGTTATAGTAATATTAATATTTTATCTTATATGGTCCATTACAAAATAGAATTTAACTCCTGAAACATGGGATGAGATGACAACATTATTAAGAGTAATGATAAGTAGAATATATAATAAATACAACTATATTATCAATATTTTATCACCCTATCAATAAAAGAGATTTCAACGAATTCTTGACAATTACTTAACCTATTCTGTATCTGAATTGAAAATTGCTTTGCAAGAACTTTCTATATATTTATGACAGTATTATAAAAAAAAATGTATTGTATTGATTGATGAATATGATTCTCCAATAGAATGCATCTATAATAAAAGATATTATAGAGTTGCAAATGATTTTTTTAAAGGCATGGTTTCATCATATTGAAGGTAAGGTATATTCGAATTTTTTATTATAATCTAATTTAAAAATTCATATCTATTTCTGATTAAAAATTAGAGCAATGATAAAAATATTGCAAAAGCTATGTTGGTTGGTATATTATGGATTGCAAAATCTAGATTCTTATCTAGGTTAAATAATCTTATAGTTTACCCTTTGTATCAAGAAAGTCAATTTCATCTTTATGCAGATAAGTTTGAATTCACACCTGATGAGGTAGAACTATTACTGCCAAAGCATGAAGACTTAAAAACTAATAAGGTTCATAAATAGTATGATGGGTATATCTCAGGAGAAAATGTACATTTATATAACCCATGATCTATTGTTTGTTTTCTTTCATGAGGTATCTTAAATACTTATTAGGTTGATACAGGAAGCACTCAAATGTTGAAAAAATATTTATAGAAAGCAAGCACTTCATTTAAGGAAACTGTCAAGAAGTTGTTAAAAGGAGAATATATAGCTAGTATTGAGATTCAAGATGATCTTCAATATTTATATTTGGATCAATATCAAGATTTGGCTATTTGTACACTTTTGTACTATGCAGAATATCTCACTATGAATTCTGAAAAACATCTTGTTTTTCCAAATATTGAGAATGGTATAAATGGGTGATCAATGTACTGTTTTTTACTCAAGAGCAAACTGTCACATCAATGTTAGATAATCTTCTGCTTGAAAATCTAGATTTATTTAGAAAAGAATTTGAATATGTAGTTATAAATGTGCTATTGTTTTATGATGTTGGGGTCTCAATCTAGAAAAAATGCAGAAAATGTTTATCATACCTTTTGCTTGGGAATGTTCATTGTTGCTTATGATCAAGGCTATATCATTTATTCTAATTGTGAGGCTTGTATAGGAAGATATGATGTAAAAATAGTTTCAAAATCGGGTGTTGGTAAGATAGCTATCATTATTGAATTTAAAATTGTTCATGATAATAAAAGCTTGAACAATATGGCTCACAAAGAATTATGTCAAATTGAAAAGAAGCATGAAGTCAAAAGACTTCTGGAAATAGGAATTGCGTTTGAAGGGAAAAAAGCATGTGTAGTAGGGCATTTATTACATAGAACTGAGGATAGAGAATGGATCAAATCCTTATAATGATTGCTAAATTGACAATTAACATAATATTATATTGTATTGTTTCCAAGAAGTTTTTCTCCTTTAATGTTATATCAGATGAATAAATAAATAAATCATGTTAACTAATCACTGTATTCTTGCCATGTTGTTTTACAAAATTTTCATAAAGCTTTAAAAAATTTGAGCTAGTTTAGTGTTAAGGTTAGGATAAAGATCTAAAATTTGATTTTTTTAATAAAATCTAAAATAGTTCATAGTGATATGTATTATGAAAAATTATGTATAATGATAAATTTTTGTTAAACCATCATTATTATTACATGTTATTCAAACCGTTAATCCTGATTTATTTTTAATTATTAGGGAATTGATGCATTCACATGCTTGTATATTCTATTCTTTACTTTTTTGCATATTTTGTAATATAGGTGTGAATAGTAATTGCATTCGTCACAAACCTTATACCTGTGTTTCCACCCTCTATAGATATGCCACTTTTCGATATAATTTTAACTTTTTTAATTTGTAAGTATATTATATTAATAGACAAAAATAATATATATATGGCTAAATTTTTTATACAAACTCACTGTCTTATAAACAAATTACAAACCTTATATAGTAGATAATTGCAATAGATAAAAAATCTTGAATAAAAATTAAATAATAGT